TGGTTAGAGCACGGTGTTGTAACAGCCAGGTCAAAGGTTTGGATCCCCATACCAGCCAGCACCCCCCCCAAAAAAAAACAAATTTGTGGAAAAATAGGATTAGAAGATAATACGAATCTTCCCATGAACTTTTTGAAGTTCCCTCACCCTTGTACTTGGGCCAGCTTCCATCCCCTCCCCACTTGGCATATCCCTGCAGCCCTGCTCTCTTGCCCACTTATTCACAACCACATACACCTGGGCACACACGTGTTCACTCTGCACTTAACCACAAACATCCACACACACACACACACACACAGCATGCCAGAGGACAGGATTTGAGCTCTGTTTGTCCAAACGTCACCAGATCCCCATCCCCTCACTAAGCCCCACCCCCACCCCCATGGATCACGTCATCCTATTCCCCACCCCCACCCCGCACAGACCCACGAATACCCACCTGTCTTGATCAGGGAACAAGAAGGATCTGGGGGTCCTCAGTCTCGGAAGCTGGGGCAAGTGCAGGCCCCTCACCGCCTCTGTGCCGAGTCTGGCCGTGGTGACCAGCTGAGGGGCTTTATCCCTCTGGTTCCCTCCTGAGCTTCTATTCAGCCTCCAGGCCACAGTCCCCATGCCTAGGGCTTAGCCCTCTCCTGACCTGTCCCATCAGCTACATCCCCAGCAGCTGGGCTGGGCTCTGGGGCAGGGAGGGGCTGGCTTTTCAGGAGTGGGCGTCAGTGAATGGCTGCTCTGAGCCTCTGGAATCCTAAAGGGCCATGGGAGGCTCGTAATGGCTAGGCTGGGCTGCCCTAGACTCAAGGCCACCTGGGGGATGGAACCCTGCTGCCTGCCCTCCCCAAATCTGCTCTGTCTCCCACAGACTGACCCATGGAGAGATGTCCCCAGTAAGAATGGGGATACTCCAAATATGGCCTCATCTGGTGGTCCCAGCACCAGCCTCACTCCTGCTTTTCTTTTGCATCCCCTATGCCCTGTTTAGTTCTGCGACCCCCAGGCCATTGTGCCCCC